GTAGGAGAGGTTGAGGAAGCTAAAAATGCTTACAAACTCAAATTCCATGATTTTGAGCCGAATTTTGATTTTGGGGGTGTAGGCCCCCCCTTCAAAGCGCCGGTCTGCAGGTAAGGTTTCAGAAGTAAGTCAGTGACGAACAGAACATCAAACAGAACCATGGGTGGCCAAAAACCCGTAGGCAATACAAATCAGAGTCATGCTGACAATAAATGTAGACCATACTGACAGTAACTCAAGACTGTTTTGCTGTTATTTTGTTAACGTTACTGATGAACTACGATGTTTTAAATAGTCTTATCCTTCAATAAAGTAGGCAACTGAGAAGCCAAATTGGCAACTTTAGGCTTCCTCTTTGCGTCCCCTAGACGATTTGTAAAATCGCCGGCTAGGAATGCGATGTTCGTGTGAAGTTGTTCTTCGCGACAGGAGGCGGTGACATTGACAACACAGTTGCGAGCCGCCGATAATAAAACAGACGAAGGAAAGTGAAAGCTGGAGTGCAACAGCTTATCAATATCGTCTTTTGACGCCTTCAAATCGGCAAAGTGCTTTTTGAATGTTGACAAAAAATACATAATGTATTCATTAAGATTTATTTGAAACTGAATAAAAAGTATTGGCAGTAAGAAATCTTTTGTCCACTGTCCAGCCGATATGAAGTGACCGGCCCCGCCGGCCTTGCCCAGTTAAAGAACCTGCTGCTGACAATAAAATTATTTTAATGGCACATAAACTAGAATATCCTTCCCTGTTACTGACACAACACTGGCCCACACTAAGATAAGATAAGATACAGCGCGCGCGGGCGCGCGCACGCACATGCACACACACGTAGGCTTACAATCATATGCATATATAAATGAGCAGCAATATAAACAATAATAATCGTAAGCTAGATACACACTCAATGTTATTTTGATGCATGCTCTAAGGTCGTAAGTATACTTTTATATAAGATGGTTAAGATGGAAGCATTTTGATAGATGATGGTAAAAATGACCTTCTATATCTTTCTTTGTTACAGATCAGAAGCCTGGGTCTTTTACTTCTGACTGATGTTTTTATTTGAGGGAACAAGGGATGTTTGTTGTCTAAATAGATGGAATTATTTTCTTTAGTGCAAGCTGTTATGCACAATTCATCCAAGTAGGGGAATGTAGATGTTGACATTTTATATGCTTTCCGTATTAGTCGATTTGATTTTTCTTTATCTTGTTGTCTTGTGTTCCCGGCCCAAGCTGTTATACAAAAATTGATGATACTTTTTCTATTGTTGAATGGTAGAACATGGACATCAATGTTTTATCAACCTTAAAATACTTTAGCTTCCTTAGAAAAAATAGTCTTTTGTTCACTTTTGATGCACTACGAGTGCTGTACCGTGCGGTCATTGCACTACTAACACAAGGTGCCTATGCTTAGCCCTGAGAGGTCTTTAGTCTAAAACTCTAAAAATAAAAAAATCACAAAACCATTAAACAAACCAATCCATTCCAGTCAAAGGAAGCACGTTTCACTCTGGGTCAAACAAATCGGTCATCAAAATTTAGGACAGTCCGATCACTGACTACCGAAAGCACAGATCAGTTGCGAGCGCCGTAAAACACTTACAAAAAACCATCACCAAAAAGCACAGCTCCCCTCACACTACCCACCCTCTCTGGAGCGGAGTATTGAGGAACAAACAACTGAAACTAAGGGCTCACTTGCTGGCGATTTAAAAAATAACTTTTTGATTGCATATGAAATCAAGTCTTCACGAGTTTCCTTTCACGTGAATAATACTATGTAGACAAACGTATAATAAGTAGATAATGTTATTAAAATAACATTTGTGCTTCAATTAGTGTTCACAAAACCAACATTTTGAGAAAAAAAAGAAAAAGAAAATTGGCATTTCCCCCGAATACGTGGCGAACTTTTTCTTTTCTTTGATTTTTGATAAAGGTTTAGGTGTTTGTTTATTTTTTTTAAAACTGCGTTATCGTCTAACCTTTCAATTTTGTCACTAAAAAAATATAGAAATCGAGCCATCAGCATTCTCCGAGCATTTGTACTGTTGCCAGGACATTCAACGTCACCACAAATGGAACATTCTTACTCTCGGATTGTTGATGATGAACCTAAATGAATAAATCACGTTTGTCCTATCGGCCATGAAAGTTAAAATTGAATGGCCCGCGACCTTGCGTGAATTCACTGTGAATTGAGATTTGTGGCTTTCCAAGTGTTACAGTTTACAGAAAGACACAAACATTCCGGGAAAATGCCACAGAGTATGCCACAGCATCTGGTGCACAGTCTGAATCAACAATGTAAAAGATACATTGTGAACTGTGCGAACAAAAGTGAAATTGAAACACATATGCCCCATCCCTTTCACACACACACACACACACACACACACACACACACACACACACACACACACTCCTGCAATATTTTGACAAACTCTCTCCACACTTTTGCAGGGTAAACACTTTTGAACATAAAGAGGCGGTTTTAGCACGGCTAAGTGGTATAAGAACCAGGAAGGAAAGGATAAGGACTTCATGCAGTTGGTAAATCTGGTAAATTTGAAAAACGGATCGAATTGGTATCTTGGTTTTTCTTTTGAGTGGCAACAACGCGTTTTCGTCTGACCGCGTGTTCAGCAATTGTTTGGAACACTTGTTCCACACCTTTACCTGTCAATGCTGAGCATTCTTGATACCCCACCAAATTATGCTCACTAGCCATAGCTTTGGCCTTATCTGTGGACACAAACTTTGAACCTGGTGGGACTGAATTTGGGTTTTCCCTCGTATCCGACTTGTTTCCGACCAACAGAAGGGGTACATCTTTACTGAAGTTTCTCATCTCGGGGATCCACAGTCTCTTCACGTTGTCGAGGCTAGTTTCACTGCATACACTGGGGACAAAACATCAAAGAAATGGAGTAATCATACAGAAATGTTAATATAGCATTAAACCCCCACCGACACAATTCATATAATTTAGGAGACGCTTCGCTTCAACCCAGCAAGTCAAGGCCAAGTCGGGTTAAGGTTAAAATAATCAAGAAGGGCAGGGTCAAGACAGCTCCTGAGGTTGGTAAATCTGATAATGTTGTATAAACCGATCGAATTAGTATTCTTTTTTCGTGCAAAAGGGTACACTACTTGGAATTCAGAGCATGCTAGCAGGAAGCAAAGGGTTAATAAAACAAAATTTAGTGTCTTCTCATCTTTTCAATCTGAATATAATAATACGAATGTGAAAATGGCTCATCTATTCATCAATCTGCCTGCCTGCCTGTCTGCTTGTGATGCTGTCTGTCTGTCTGTCTGTCTGTCTGTCTGTCTGTCTGTCTGTCTGTCTGTCTATATCTATCTGTTTACCTACCTACCTACCAACCTACCTACCTACCTACCTACCTACCTACCTACCTACCTCGTACCTGCCTACCTCGTACCTACCTACCTGCTTGCCTGC